AAAGTTGAAGCCTCTGCAGAGGTAAAAAATTGGTATCGGGCAGCTAACATATTGAGGTTTACTGTACGCTAGGCACTGTACTAGTCCTTTGTACACATTACCTCACCTAATCTTTCCAAGGCCCCTGTGAAATCGGTTCCTATTCCCACTTTACAGTTGAGGAAACTAAGGCTCAGAAGGGAAAACAACATGCCCAAAGCTGCATAGGTGGAACCTGGTTTTAAACCTGAGTCTGGCCCTGAACCCTTCGTTCTTTCTACCATGCTAACTTGTTCTCACTAAAAAGCCTGTCAGTGACCTTTATTATAGGACACATTGTGCATGTGGTTGGGGTTGGAAGGAGGTGCTCCCGAGTCACCAACATGGGCTCACTAAAAGCAAGTTATGCACTTCCCTTCTGGTTCTGTTGGGTTGGTGAACTGGCTTATAGTAGCAGACCAACCTTCCTGCCAAGAACAACTGGAAAAACAAGATGAATTTAAAAAAAAATCTGTTTGAAGGCATTGAGAAATACCAAGATAGCCAAGACTCAAGGGGCCAAGTTCCCAGAGAGGAAAGTGAGACCAACAGTCTGAGAGGCAGAGAGGCAGAGAAACAGAACAGAAATTGGCTGGTAAGAGGCTAAGGAGCTAAGCAGACCTACCAGCAGTGTAAGGGGGCTGGGGAAATAAAAATCTGAGTGCAGGACCAACCAAGGTGGTAAAGGACTTGGCTTTCAATTGGGACCTCTAAAGACTGTACTCTAGGAGTAAGGGTACACCAGGTACAGGCCAGTCTTACAAAGACTGAACCCAGCTTCTAATTAGCTCAATCCCTAATTAAAGTGATATTGTTATTATTCTAATTGCTTGCTAGAAGCTTAAAGAAATCTTTTCTGGAAGAGAATAGCCTCATCCAGAGCCTCTACAATTTTTCATACAAAATGTCCATCATTCAGTCAAAAATTACCAAGCATAGTAAGACAGAAAAAAAGCAATAAACAGATTCACAGGTCATTTATATATTGGAGTTATCAAACTTGGACTTTAAAATAACTGTGATCAATGATTAATATGTTACCCAGTTGTGGCACACACCTGTAATTCCAGCTACTCAGGAGGCTGAGGCAGGAAGATCAGTTGAGGCCAAGAGTTTGAGACCAGCCTCGGCAATGTATTAAGATCCTGTCTCTTAAAAAAAAAAGTGATTGATATGTTCAAATAATATTCACTTGAATAGCCTAAAAAAAAGCTCAAAAAATAGATGAAAAGATAGAGAATTTCACGAGAGAACTAGAATATATAAAAATGAATCAAATGGAAATTCTAGAACTGGAAAACATAATAAATTAAGAATGCAGATGAATTTAGCAGATTACACAAAGCTAAAGAGAAGGTAAGATTTGTAGAAAATACCTAGACTGGAGCTTGAAGAGAAAACACAGAAAAAACCGTAAGAGATCTATATGACATGGTAGAAGGTCTGACATATATGTACCAGTGGAATTTCAGAATGGGAGAAAAGACAGAATGAGGCAGAACCAGTATTTTGAAGAGATTAGTAGTTGAGAACTTTTTCAAAATTTACTAAAGATTTTAATTCAAGAAGCTCTATAAACCCAAGCAGGATAAATTCAAAGAAAGACATAAACAATTTTGCACATAAATTCAAAATAAAACTGCTCAAAACCAAAGAAAAAGATTAAAAACAGCCAAAGGGGGGTAATTATCTTTAAAGAACAGTAAGATGGAAACTAACTTCTCAACAGAAATGGTGGATCCCAAAGACAGTTAAAGTTATCTTTATAGTACTGAAAGAAAACATCTGCCAATATAGAATTCTATACTAAGGGAAAATATTTTTCAGAAATGAAGGCATGACCACAGAGAAGGTCTACAGAAAAAAATACAAAAAAGAGAGTGAAAGAAAAAACAGAAATGAAGGCAAAGCCAGGCACGGTGGCTCATGCCTCTAGTACTCGTTACTCCAGAGGCTGGGGCCTGAGCATTGCTTGAGCCCGGGGGTTCGAGACCAGCCTGGGCAACATACTACTTGTCTCACAAAAAAAAAAAAAGAAAAAAGAAAAAAAAGAAATAAAGGCAAAGTATAAAACGTTTCCAAGTAAATAAAAATTGATAGAATGTGTTGCCAGCAGACCTGCATTATAAAAAAATACAAAAAGGCCAAACAATTATTATCCGCAATAACATCATGGAATGTAGCAAGGAATAAATAACAGTGGAAAAGTAAATATATGGGTAAATCCACATGAGTATTGATTGCATGAAATAATAATGTCTTGTGGATTTAAAATATATGTAGAATTGAAATTATAACAATAACAGAAAAGTCTAGGGCAAGTTATATGGAGTTAAAATATTCAAAGATTTTTTTTTTTTTTTGAGACAGAGTCTCACCCTGTTGCTCCATGTAGAGTGCACTGGCATCACTGTAGTTCACTGCAACCTCAAACTCCTGGGCTCAAGCGATCCTCCTGTCTCAGCCTCCTGACTAGCTGGGACTACAGGTGTGCACCACCATTCCCAGCTAATTTTTCTATTTTTTTAGTAGAGATGGGGTCTTGCTCTTGCTCAGGCTGGTCTTGAACACCTGAGCTCAAGTGATCCTCTCTCCTCAGCCTCCCAGAGTGCTAGGATTACAGGCGTGAGCCACTACACCCAGCCTCAGAGATCTTTATATTGTCTAGGAAGTGGTAAAAATAACTGTTTATATTATACTCTAATTAAAGTCAAGGATGTATGTAATGTAATCTGGAGGTTAACCACTAAAAGCATAGTGACTAAATGTATAACCAACAAGTTAATTGAGGGGAAACTGGAATAATAAAAATAATGCAGAAGAAAGCAAGAAAGGAGAAAAAATGGAACAAAGGGGAAATAAAATAGTAAGATAGTAAACTTAAATATAAATATATCAGTAATTGTATTTCGGTTGTCTTAGATTGGGTTAGAAAAAAATAATTATGTATTGCTTTTAAGAAACATATACATCTTGCATAGAAGTACACAGAAAGGTAGAAAGTGAAAAGATAGAAAAAACTATATTATGCAAACATTAGCCCAAAGGGGTTGATGTAGCTATACTAATATCACATAAAGAAGACTTTAAGGCAAGAAACCTTATTAGAGGTGAAGATTATTTTATAATGATAAAACATCACTTTACCCAGAAGATACAGTATTTGTACATAGAACAACATCTAACTGCATAGCTTCAAAATATATAGTGCAAAAATGACATAACAAAAGAAGAAATAGATAAATCCACAGTCATAGTGGAAGATTTTTAACATACCTTTCTCAGTGATAGAACAAACAGACCAAAAAAATCAATATGATAGAGAAGATTTGAGCAAATCATTAGTAAATTCAACCTAAATGTCATATATAGAATGATGTACTCATAAATGTTAGTATGCACATTATTTTCAAATGTACATGGAGCACTTACCAAAATTGACCATATGATAGATGATAAGTAAGTCACAACACATTTTAAATGATTGAAATCATATAGTGTATTTTCTTTGACCATAGTAGAATTAAGATAGAAACCAATTATAAAAACATATAATAAAAAGAGGCCGGGTATGGTGACTCACACCTATAATCCCAGCGTTTTGGGAGGCTGAGGGAGAAGGATTACTTGAGGCTGAGAGTTTGAGACCAGCCTGAGCAACATAGGGAGACCCATTTTCTAAAAAATATTTTTTAAAAAATTAGCCAGGTATAGCTTGCACATTGTAGTCCTAGCAACTTGGGAGGTTGAGGTGGCAGGATCCCTTGAGCCCGGGGATTATAGGTTACAGGGAGCTATGATCACGTCACTATGTCCCAGCCTGGGCAACAGAGCAATGTCCTGTCTCTAAAAAAAACCAAAAAAACAAACAAAATATATAAATACATATGTGTATAAACAAAGAAAACTTTCAAATATTTGGAAATTAAACATTGTACTTTTTTTTTGAGACAAGGCCTTACTCTGTTGCCCTGGCTAGAGTGCAGTGGTATCATCATACTCACTACAACCTCAAACTCCTGGGCTCAAGCGATCCTCCTGCCTCAGCCTCTCGAGTAGCTGGGACTACAGGCTCACCCCACCATACCTGGCTAATTTTTTCTATTTTTAGTAGAGATGGGGTCTCACTGTTGCTCAGGCTGGTCTCAAACTCCTGAGCTCAAGTGATCCTCCTGCCTCTGCCTTCCAGAGTGCTATAAACATTGTACATTTTTAAAGTAGTCTCAATTAAAGAAGAAATTTCAGTGGAAATTAGAATATATTTTCAATTGACTGATATTGAAAAAACAACATATCAAAACTTGTGTGATGCAGCTAAAGCCACACTCAGGAAAATTTATTGCTTTATATAATAAAAAAGAAAGTATTCTAAACAACTTTATGTCAATAAGCTTGAAAATTTAGATGCAATGGACAGATTCCTAGAAAAAGACGACTTATCAAAACTAAGAAAAAAACAGCAAATCTGAATAGTGTTTTATCTATGAAAGAAATTGAATCTGTAATTTAAAATCTTCTCTCAAAGAAAACCCAGGCCAAGATGGCTTCACAGCAAGAGAATATTCCCAAATCTTTGAGGAGGAAATAAGCTTATCAGAGAACAGAAGAAAGGAAAACATTTCCCAGTTCATTTTATGAGTTCAGCAATCTTGGTCCACTATGGAATTCCTCTTGGCTATTATATATGTCTTAGAACCAAAATTTACTTCATACCTTTAGTGTGTTAACAGTTCTTTCAAAAGATACATAATGTGTCAGATTTTGTTCTTTCCCTTAATTGTACAATCCTAGTGGCACAAAATGATCCAGTGATACTAAATAATTCTCCCTCATATACACACTGGCCAAGGGGCACAGAATAGTTTTCTAGGAAAGAAAAAGATTTTTGCTGATAGAATAGTTTTCCCCCTATCTCCTACTCTGGAAACTAATAATAGTAAGATTTAACTTAATTATTTTGTGTGTTTGTTTTTCTCCTGCAGACTCCATTAATAATATACCTCTTTCATTTCCTAATTGACTATGCTGAATTGGTATTTATGGTAAGTAACTTTCCACATAAAATCAATATGTATCTATTTTTAAATTTTAGTTGTCTTTTTTTTTTCTTTTTTGATATGGGTGGGTCTTGCTATGTTGCCCAAGCTGGCTTTGAACTCTTGGGCTTAAGCAACCCTCCTGCCTCAGCCTCCCGAGTAGCTGAGACTACAGGCACATACCACCATGCTGACCTGTTGTTTTCTTGTTTTTAACAAAAAAATCTGTCTTAGGAACTCAGGAGTCTTTTAGAAAATAAAAGTAAAAACTTATGTCTTTAATTTGAATTCATGGAACTGTGGCAGTATTATGGAAGTGTGAGGAATAGTCTCTGATGTCTGAGCAGTTTCAATTCTTTATTCTTTTTAGAATTTGGTTTCTGGACTATATAGTCTTGAATTTTCTAGCTCCAAGATTCTATGATTGGCTTTAATTGTGGTGCTGGTGTGGAAGGCATCCTGAATTTTCTAAGCATTCTGCTAAGAGATTCTGTGAGTCATTATGGAAGAGGACACAGGACTGATGAGACTTTCAGGGGGCAAAAACCTTCAAAATTGAGACGATAGACCTGTGTTTTGAGAGTATAGCAATTTGAAACACTTGTCTAGGGTTGAAAATTTGGGTCAAGAAATACCTAGGAAGTCCACTGAGGTCTCCCTTAGTAATTATAATGGCTGCTGTATATTGAGGACTTACTATATGCACTTGGCATTCATCAGGCCTGCACAGCATTGGGTATTATTCCCATTTACAGCAAATGTAAGTAGCTTGCAATTCTAGAGCAAATGTGGGATACCAAACTGGAGTGAGCCTAGATGGGCTTCTGATCCTCAGGGTTTTCCAATCAGACCCCCTGAATGGGCCTTATCTTTGGGAGTCGAAGTGAGGGCTGGACTTCTGCCTGACTGTAAGAGTTCAGTACTGGGTGATCCACCACCATCTCAAAACTCTAGGCCCCCACAGCATTCCATTACTCTTACACTAATTGGGTTCTATTTCCTATTATTTCTCTTTCTCTTGACAGGTAACTGATGCACTCACTGCTATTGCCCTGTATTTTGCAATCCAGGACTTCAATAAAGTTGTGGTAAGTAGTTGGTAGGTGGGACACAGCTGGTAGAATTTGGTAACCTGCTGGTCTTTGTTATTACAAAGAATCAAAGGTCTTGTATTCAAGGATCCAACTGCTTTAAAATGCTAAGATGTGGGGGTGAAACTTCTGGTCTCTTCAGCGAGCCCTGGAATGACCAAACTCAAACTCATAAGACAGTTTACTAATAGATACAGAAAGGTCAGCTTACTCTGTGTAGTTTACTAATAACTATTAATATCCACACACCTGTGCAAGTTCAGACTTTCTGGAGTAGAGTTGAACAACTGTTATATTAATGAGGACCCTTAAAAATCTTCCATTCCTTTCACCAGTTTTTCTTTTCAAAATGAATAAAGCTTTTAACTCACCATATCAGGCCTATCTGAGGTAAAATTAGATTCCCAATGCTGTTTCTCTTTCCCTGCAGAAAGTAATCTTTTTTTTGTTTGTTTGTGTTTTTTTGAGACAGAGTCTCACTCTGTTGCTTGGGATAGAGTGCCATGGTGTCAGCCTAGCTCACAGCAACCTCAAACTCCTGGGCTCAAGCGATCTTCCTGCCTCAGCCTCTGGTAGCTGGGACTAGAGGCATGTGCCACCATGCCCGACTAATTTTTTCTATTTTTAGTTGTTTGGCTAATTTCTTTCTATTTATAGTAGAGATGGGGGTCTCACTCTTGCTCAGGCTGGTCTCAAACTCTTGAGCTCAAGCCATCCTCCCGCCTTGGCCTCCCAGAGTGCTAGGATTACAGGCGTGAGCCACCACGGCTGGCGCAGAAAGTAATGTTAACTGGAAAATTTGGCTGGTATTAAAGGCCTGATGCAAACTTTAGTCGTAATCCATATGTAATAGCCAAGGGGAATTGCATAGTGGGACTATTCTCCTATTCCAGGGTTCTGAGAGAATTAACAGATTAACCATGTGTACTTATTCATGTAGTTGTAAAAAAAAAAAAATTGGCTAAAGTCCTCCTTGATTGGCTGGGAGTCTCTGAGAGGATTTAGGTTGGGGTGAGATAAGGCTGAATCTCATTGGCATCTGTTTGTGGTTCATTTTCGCTTTTGTTACCAAGTAATAGAACCAGAAATAGCAGTCTGCCTTTCTGTGTCACTGGTCGTCAGTAACAAATGAAGCTGGTGAATTCTAGAATTTTAGACCTCAGAGAGATTTTTTAAATGTCTAGACTGAAGGTTCTTAACTTGGGGTCCATTTATAGGCTTAATGGGTCTATAAGACCCTTGAAATGGTATGAAAATTGAATGTGTTTGTGACTATGTCATTTTTTCCAAGATTTCATAGCTGTTACTGGTACTCAAAGAGTCTTTGACCCTAAAAGATTAAGAACTACGTTTTAGAGACTTAGTATCACTAAGGCTAGGGTATGTACATGTTAAACTAATAGAGTATAATTTGAAAATTTTAGGGGCTGAAGTGAAATAATTTAACAGGATTCCCTTGAGGGCTACAGATGAAATAATTGGGCATGAGATTTCATATGCTCTGGAGTTCAGAGATAAGGCAGCAGTGGTTATTTTCTTCTCCAAGATAGGTTATGTATGTAGATAGTCTTTGTTTGAAGTTATATTAATATGTGCTAAAATATTTAGGGATGAAGTGTTACGATATCTGCAGTTTACTTTCAAGTGGTCTGGCAAAAAATTTGTGTGCACGTGTGTGTGTGTAGACATAAAGCAGATGTCGCAAAATGTTAACAATTGATGGATCTAGGTGTTTACTGCATTATTCTTTCAACTTTTTTGTGGTTTCAAATTTTTCAATATAAAACACTGGGGAAAAAATAAATCCGTGTGTGTGTGCATATACATGAGATAGATATGTGATATATATGATATAAATACGAATGTCTAAGGGCGGATTGGTAGCTTTCATTTAAGAACACAATCAGATCTTTTCAACCAAAACGTAAAACTGAAAACAAAACAAAAAGCAAAATGTAAAACTGAAATGTGTTTTAATGAAAGTCAATTAGAGATGCTAACATCACATGTATTCCTTTTTTTGTTGTTGTTCGACCATCATAAAAACACCTCTCACACCCCCCAGTTAAAACAGTTTTTAATCTGGGGTGGGGGGGCTTATGGAGAAGCAATGAAACTAGGTTTTAGTTAGTTTCCTAACAAAGTAAGGCTTCAGTGTCAATAGGAGAGATACCTTTAATTTAGAGCACCAATAATTTTAATTCATTTGTTAATTCTAAGTTTATATGGAAACATATATAGATGTTTTTCTTTGTGTGATTTAAAGAGGGAGAGAGAAAACCAAATGAGTTGTTGTCAATACCGTTTTTTAGTGCACCAAGACTGAATCAAAATGTGGAATATTTTTGTTTCTCTATCTTCGGAGTTCAGACTATTAGAGCATTGGATTTCTTGGTCAGAATAGGAGTTTTATTTATGCTATGTTGAAAATTTACTCTTTCTCAATGGTGGATTTTGATGACACTAACGTACTACTGTTGATTTAGATAGAATATCAGCATGTTTTCCTCTGAATCTTCTCCATTTTGTCAGAAGGGTCCATATCCTACAGTCTGGAAGTATTTTAATCTTGCTGGGATTTGAGACTTTTTATCCCTGGTAATAAAACTCTGTCTACACCCAAATGTGTCGTGGAACACTATGGCGCAGAGAGGGACCCCACTCCCACCCCATCTCCAGCTGTTAGCTTGTGGACTACGAATGCTGGTTGAATGTGACCACTTGGTTATCGTAACATTTTACATCTACCTCACTTGACAAAAGCAATGTTAGTGTAATCTGTCTTTTGTTGAGATGGTGCTTCTTATTTGGAACTCAGAGTTCATGTTAAGAGAGCTGCAGGTGGTTTGATAGTTGAGTGATAAAAACCTGTATCCTCTTAATGTGATTAGAGGGTTGTAAATTTCGAGGATAGGCTCCTGAATTTGGAACATGCTGAGGCTAACACTTGGAGAGGGCTGGAGGTGGAGTGTTTCCTCCACCACCACCGTAGTTTTTGGGAATACAGATGGGTGTAGATACAGCTTCAATGATTAGCAAAAGCCCTTTGTATGAAGCAGGGGAATTTCGTCTTTGCAAAACCAAATCTTCCAAGGGACAAGGAAAGGGCCTTATAGGGAAGTGACAAGAAGGAAAGGAAGACTCCACCCTGGAAATGTTTTTTCAATTCAGAAATTTCTATTGGAATATACATATGGAAAAACACACCATCTTGTCTACAAGTTGATCAATGATCACAAAGGTAAGACACCTAGAAAACCACCCTTCAGGTCATTTTTAACCTCTCCTGTGATTGCTTTAAATCTCATCATTGTCAAGACTACTGAATATATCTAGAAATACTTATTTTTGATTTTAAATTGTATTTCCTAATCTCATTTATTTTTATACTTATATTTTCTTAAAGGGGGTATGTGTGTGTTTGCACACGTGTGTAATTTTTAAAAATTTCCTCACATTTTTAGCCACTTTCCTGTCTCTTGCTGGATGCAATGAAAGTTTTTAAAAGGGCTTTTGTCTATGCTTAGAGGAGCTGATATAGGGCCTATGAGATGAGCCATAATGGTGGCTGTGCTGGTAAGATCGAGGAGACAAAAAGAGGCAGCAGAGAATGTGGGGACTGCTGACCTGACTGCCCTTCCTTCTCTCCTGGAGACTCCTTTCAGAAGGTCTTTCTGTTTTAAAGTATTTGAGATTGTGGTTACAAGGAAGTGCTTATCTTCTGTGGCTAGCGCAGTGTCACCTTTGCCCAGGATCTGGTAGTTGCCTCCATCTCTCAATGCAGCCCCGCTGGCTGGCTTCCCGTCTCGAGAACGGTCTGCATTCCCACCTGTCTCTCTGGCTGCCCCTGGATGAACTCCTGTTTCCTTTTAATAGCTTCCTTTGTGGCTCTCACTCCCTCCAGGCGGCCTTCTATTTGCTGCATAACTCCAGAACTCTTAGCTAGTGGGGCCTCCTTCCTGCTACCACTGCTGCAGCTGTCCTCTCTAAGCACTTTGATTGCTGAGCCAGCCCCCTTCCCTCTGATAAAAGCACCTTAGTTTATATTTTGTTCTTTTAATTAAACAACCCCAGCTGTGAATGGCACCATAAATCTTATTGATGATAATTCTCACCACTTGGACTTTGCCAACTGGGAGAAGAATTGAGATAATCAAAGGGAGGTTTTTGAAGTTTGTTTTAGGTTTTCAGATTAAGTCCTAAACCTATGCAAGAAATCTGGTGTTACCTGTATTCCTGTGATGACCGCTTGATTTTCTTTTGAACTGAAAGATACTCTTCTAAAATTTTTTAATTTAAAAAATGTTTAAATTCTGAAATACTTAAGATATGCAAAAATAAAGAATAATACATGCTTGTCAACCTATTTTCAGCTTGGAAAAAACTACACCTAGCAATTGTTTCTGATACTTTCATCTCCCTCTTCTCCCTCCTACCTGTAACTGCTGTTCTGAATTTAGTGATTATCATTCCCACACACGTGGCCTTGACTTTTACTACATTTACAAATATCCTTGAATAACATATATTATTATTTTCCATGCTTTTAACTTTATGTAAGTGTACATAAAGTATACATTCTATTGTGATCTGCTTTTTTATCATTAAGTCTTTAATCATGCACAGATAATTAAGCACTTGCTGCTTTGGGTCCTCTGAAACACTTTTCTAATAGGTTGCAGCTGTTATACTGTCTAAATAAGATTCTCTGATCATTAAATCAGCAGGGTTACCAATTTTGGGTTCAGAGGCTTTTCCATCTGTATTCTGATCCATGTTTGCTTATAAGGTTGACTACCTCTTTTTCATTCTGGAACACACCCATGAACTTGTTGGGACACACCAGGGGAAGTCAAGAGCTTCCCACCCCCGTCCCACTCCCTTTCAACTGTCAGCTGCCCAGCCACACCCAACTCTTTTCCTTTTCTTCATCATGGCCATTCTACACCTCCTCTATGGAAGTAAAATACTTGAAACAAGAGAGTGAGGAAGAAAACGCAAGATACTGTGACATTTGAGATTGTTCCACTTTGCTTGAAAATACTTCTTTGCTGATGGAACTTTGGAATCCTTAGGCCACTGACCATAACTCTTTAAGATGACTAAGAACTTTGCTTTGCCACTTGGTCGTTCATGCAGCCTTTCAACAGATATTGTTTGCCCACTGTGCCAAGTGTTTTGCATGCATGGTAAGCGAACAGACACGGTCCCTGCCGTTATGGAACTTGTAGTCTAGTGAGGGAGACACATTTAGTCACTCACATAAATAAGTGAAAAAGTTATAACTGAGCAGTGTTATGAAAGAATGTTTATAATCGGGGGATTTTACATGGTGGGAGAATGATGAGGAGGAGTGTGACTTTCTGAGGAAGTGATAATTTTACTGAGATCTAAAGACTGTGTGGGAATCAACTAGGGAAAGAGAGAAGAAGAAATTGTTCCAGGTCAATTGCAAAGGCCTGGGAGCAGGAGCGGCATGGCATGTTCGTGGTGCTGGGACTCAGCAAGGGAAGGTCGGGGAGTGAGTGTGAGTTGAGCCTGGAGAGGTAGGGCCAGACCAGAAAGGGAAGGGCTTTTGTCTTTATCCTAAAAGTGACAAGAAGTAATTTGTTTCATGTGCTTTGTCTTTTTTCCCCCTCCAGTTTAAAAAGCAGAAACTCCTCCTAGAACTGGACCAGTATGCTCCAGATGTGGCCGAACTCATCCGAACCCCTATGGAAATGCGTTACATCCCTCTGAAAGTGGCCCTATTGTAAGTATTCCCTGACAAAACAGGGCTCAGTGCCAGCAAACGCAAGGAAAATCTGATGAGACTTTCCCATGTCGTTTGTGGTATTTTTGGAGATTTGCGGTCTTAGTCATCAAGTGTTTGCCGTAGTTCTGTTGCACAACTGGGTTCTGTTGTTCTGGCCAGCAAAAGAGACAGAGCCATTCTGTCTCTGTTGGGACAAAGACTCACACAGGGATGTGCACAATCAGACCCTTCACAAATGCTTTTTGACTTTATGCTGATCTGGGTTCCAGCCTACTTGTAACCAGTGTTTCTAAAGAAAAAGTTCTTAAGTTGTGATATACGGATTGAATAAAAGTCTGGTCTTTATGTGGCTGTTGTGTTGAGCAGCTCTATGTTTCATGTACGGTGTAGTCCCCTGTTGTTCAGAAAACTAAAGTGGGAAACAGATCCATTCCAGCTGGGTGACCTACGTGGCAGAGTGGAACTTACTGAGGTTTTATGAGGCTTAATGCTGCCCTTAAATTTAACTCTTTCAGGTTATTCCCATTTGTATCTCTGAGCTAGGCAAATGTGAATAATTATTTAATCACCTAATAGTCATTGAATATTAATAATATACTAGTTTCTAGGGATGCACAGTAAACAAGACAGACAAGATACGGAGTAAACAGTTTTCCTTATGGAAAAACATGCCCTTAGAGCTTCACAATTAGAAGGGGCTTTATGAGACTGTTTTATTCAACCCTCTAAGTGTGAATTTTCTATTCAGTGTTTTACACAGGTGTCTGTGCAGCTGTTTCTTGAACATCACCTGCTATTTAGAAATGGCTTTTATTTTTCTTCCCACCAAACAGTTTTGGGGTATCAGTTCACATCTATGTATTTCAGAAATATTAGTGGGAACTACCTTAATAGAACCAGAGGTTTAACAACATTATGAATCCCTTATGGACTCATATGTGTCCTGGGGATAGTTTTGTAATAGCAGCAGCTGTTTCTTTAAAGATTGTGTAATAGGCCTATCTGTAATTGCTGGAAAAAACACCAGCAATTTCTAGGCCTTTGGCTTTAGAACTGCTAATCTTACGGTCCTGGGAGGTATTGGATTTAAGGTCTTTATTTGTGAATAATAATTATAATCTCTTCCTGAGACACTGGTATGTTTCTTTCTATCTGATAATCAGAATTATGTAAGTGGTCTACCTTTTCACTTTGTCTGCCAGGAAACTCAGATTTGTAGCCAATTATTACAATGCTATAGAAGACTCATTTGGTCTTCTTTCCCTTGCTTTTACTTTCTCCTTTTATTTATGTTTTTCCTGATCTTGACTCTTTATTTCTATTTTTACCTTGCTATTATTTTTATTATCTGTTCTTATTTTAGCTGCTTCAAATCCTTTGTGGAAGCAGGATAGAAATAAAAATAATAATTCATTATGACTATTTAAGGTTCCCCTGCTCAAAATCATTTCAAATTCATTTTCTCAGTCCATTCCTTTCTGCCTCTGGAAAAGACTAGGCGTTTCAGTTAAACTCTTCCCCATGGAAGGTCAAGATGTCTTTGAAGTTCTATGGCAACTGGCTTGTTGATTTCAGTAGATATTTATTTTGACCTTGGGGTACGGTTCAGTGAATACTGTTTGACTAACAAGAGGGCTAAATCTAAGCTGCTCTAACCTGTTGGATTGGTGTGGCCCATGTCAGAGCTTAGGAACCTGATTGAGGAAAATGTACGTTCCTGGTTTTCAGAGACAAATGTAGCCATTCCTAAGATATCTGGCTCTGGGGGAATTGGTAGAATTTTATCATTTTTGAAGTCAAAGTAGTAGAAAGAACATTGGCTTTAGAGCCAGAAAGACCTGATTTTGAATGTATTTATTAGCTTATGAAATTTGGGGCAAGTTACTTAACCACTGACTCTGTTTCTTCATCTATAAATCTGGAATAAGGTTATGGCTAGTTTACAGAATCTCTGTGATGATCGAGTATGATGGTTTTCCATATACCACATAGCACAGAATAGGCAGCAAAAGTTCAAGACCTTTTACTCATTGGCCCCAACCCCCACTCTATTCTCTTTTACCTGGGAGAACTCATTTCTAATCAGTTGCCTTCCTTTGAGTATGCTTTTAGTAAATCTCTTCAGCATCCTGGCTGTGGTGGCCAGGACTCCCTGGTCCATTGATCAGGATTACTAATGCCATATATGTGTGTTCTTCCCCAGCTATCTCTTAAATCCCTACACGATTTTGTCTTGTGTTGCCAAGTCTACCTGCGCCATCAACAACACCCTCATTGCTTTCTTCATTTTGACTACGATAAAAGGTAAGGCCCTGAAGGAGAGTATAAAGCTCAGTCCCTGATTTATGCAGTTTTGTAACACTTAAGCTGTGGTTTTTTAAAAAAATACAATGCAACACTTGAAAACATTTTTTTAAATTACACAAGTAATACAAGATGATTATAGAAAATTTAGATTAGGCCAGGCGCAGTGGCTCACACCTGTAATCTTAGCACTCTGGGAGGCTGAGGCGAGAGAATAGTTTGAACTTAGAAGTTTGAGACCAACCTGAGCAAGAGCGAGACCCCGTCTCTACTAAAAATAAAAAGAAATTGGCTGGACAACTAAAAATACATAGAAAAAATTAGCCAGGCATGGTGGCGCATGCCTGTAGTCCCAGCTACTTGGGAGGCTGAGGCAGAAGGATCGCTTGAACC